TGAGAAGTGACAAGGACCACCAAGCCAAGCCATGGATGCCATTGTCAAAGGGTCCCCTTTCATGGTGGAAATAGCGACAGTCGAAACAAATGGCAAGAGACAAACGCGTCTGATTTCTCTACTTTCCACCGCAGCGGCTTCGGTAGGCATATGTTGTTCGCATCCCTAGTGTATCTCTACCCACACTCGCAGGTTTCTGTTACAAACGATTCTCGGCCGTGACGAAATTTTGCTGTGCTCGAATGGCCGTTGATACTGGCAACACGCACGATGTTGGTCCACCAAGCCTGCTTGAGCGCAAGGGTGTATACGCGCTTCCGGGCGCTAAGATTCGAATGCCGAATTTAATATAGCGAATGGACTGCAGACAGCGAAGCCTATCGACGAAGGCGGGCCACCCAAAGTGGGCTTTGTTCCATGTTCCAAGCCGAGACACAGCTGCAGTGCCCGATGCTGAAAGCCGACAAGACGGAGAGAGGGCTGCCCAGATTGGCCCAAAATAGACTCCTAGGAAAATCATCTCCTTGTGGATAATGTTCGAGGAAAAATACCCTTTCTCCAAGGACCGTGTCTTATGCCCTGTGAGGCTGTGACACAAAAAGTCGCCCCTGGCGGTGTAACCTGGCTGTATTTGTAAGAAGACACAAGGCGAGAAACGAAAATAACGACAAGGGCTATTTGACATAATTTGAGCCCAACCCTGGGGTGTAGTCAGCTATCAGAAATGTAAGGCAGGACTGCGGCTTGCGGTTATGTCTCTCGTGTTGATACTATTTCAAGTCGTTTAAGAGGCCATGGTGTTATTACAAGTAGCCACACTGGTAGGATGAGAAAGTCTAAGCTTACTGTGACAGGAAATATTCTCATGCTGAAGGGAAAACAATACGCTTCTTGTAATGCTCTCACTGTGGGAATGCATTTGCTTCCTCTAAATAGCTATAATATGTAATGTTGAATCATCACAGGTGTTGTTTGGTGAGCGACCTGCAGGCCGCGAATCATCCGTACATCTTGGCTCACTCGTGATACTGTATATCGGTTCCAGAGCACATCAATCTCGGTCTTCTAATAAGTTAAAGTAGCCGCCATGACTTCTTACGCTAGCACGACAACGACTCGCCACTGACGATTGATATAAAGTTTAAAGGAGAAGTTATGCTACCTTTACAACCGTGGGTCTATAGTTGCTCTTCAGCTCAGCGGGGAGGAGAGGCTTGGGGCGGATGCAACAGTCAAGCCGTGCGAATTACCCACATTGGCTAGTTGACCTTGTGTGACAGGCAGGGTTGCTTGCAAGGTTCAATGTTTGTTCTGTGGCTTTGATGGAAGGTATGTAAGCGGAATTTGATTGTCCTAGTCACCGGGCTACACAGAATATTCTATAGAGCGAGTACCTTGGTGACCCTAACGCCTCTAGGACCAGGAATGCCATTTGAACTTGGCTTGGTTCTTGGCCGACGCCGGGGCATTTGCGCGCCGCCGATCAAACCGCCAGCACCAGGCTTGGGAGTAAGTGGATAAGCTATGATCATTTGATTGTGGATTGAGGGATAGACCTTCCTGTGGCTGTTGCGAATCACTGTGAGCCCTGCATTTGGGAGCTGCCCCGAATACAGCCTTGCGCGGCTGGTGCCAAACGTGACGACGAATTTTATAGCCAATTCCAAGCTTGCCCACAGACTTGGATTCGTGCACAAAATTTTCATGACACATTGGCCGAGGCTGGGCATTTTGATACCGGTCTCTTGTCCGTCCATTATATCGTGGCTGGGGTGTGGCACACGAATCCTTTCGATGGGTCTTTCCAATCCTGGTCTCGAAACGATTGAAGAATCCTTCGTCCCTATGTTGGAACACATTTTTTTAATGCACCGTCATTTGGAGAGTACTACTTCGTAGCGGAGAAGGAGTTGTTGACGCCGTGTATAGCAATCCGTGAAATTTCAAAGCACCTGGACCATGTGAAACCAATATCTCTCTGATGACGATGGCCGTGTCGTTTGTTTTGTTCTAGAAGCGGTATACAGCATGCCTGTATTATTCCTATTTTTATGACATGATGCATTGTTTTGTGGCAGGGTCGCCCCGACGTGGTCTTTGGTGACGTAAGTCATATCTGGAAACCTGCCAAGTGGGGAATTGGGGCGCTCTTCACAGAACATTGAATGTTGGCGTCTGGTTGAATGGCGGCCACCCGACGGCGTAACCTTGTGGAGAGATCGGATTACCACTGGGCAACAATGGCATCTGCCCAGCCATGATGGGCTGTGTCAGTTCATACCAGACGTGGATATCTTGTATAGTTCTTTGCTGTTTCCCATTGGTATCCAATTGAGTAACACCAGATTGCAAACACCTCGCAGCCTCGGGGCTCCACGCGGCATTCGGGTCGTCTGCTGTCCCTAGTGTTCAAATTGCAATCTGGTGGTGACATGGAGTAGAACCATCCTCTCCGGCCCACACCGTCAAGCGGGCGAGAAAACCAGCCCTATTTGGTTTAGGGGTGAAAAGGCAGAGATTGACCAATCGGAAAGAACTTTATACGAAGGCAGATGCTGGCCCTGTCGTCGCTAAAACGTCGTTTGAAAAACGGCTAAGACCAATTGTGGCTCTAGGTTTGAGCATCTGGTCCCGGACTTGGACTTGCTTTCATAGATTACATTGCCTAATTCGAGATCTGTCTGTGATGCAAAGGGCCAACAAACCTTTTGTTTTTTAAGAAAATATAACGTCTAGGATGCAGGGGCAGCAGAAGTGCCGATGTTGTCTTGTAAAGCGACCAACCGATGCCGAGCTTTTTGTGTCCATACGGTGCTGTCTTGTCTTGCCCAGAAAATGTTTCGGGCAGCTAAACATTGTCTGCTGACGATGGAATGAAGCTTAAAACCTGCTGTCCACGTCTGGTAACTTGCGACAGGCTTTGACCTTTACCGGCTGCATCGCCCTCGTCGCCTGAAAATACGTACCATACTAACGCATAAGCCTCTTTCTAACCGTTGAGTTGACGAGAAACGGTATTTTGCCGCTTGTAGTGTTGTAGAGTACCCTTTCCGTCTGTGCCATTGGTGGACGTCCCCGACCGCCACGGACGGACTGGATGATCAATCGACCAACAAACCAGATTATGAATGTGTTGCTATTATCATGATTGAAATGTTTGTTTCTGCTTGGTCAGCGCCTGGTCGCCCATGGAGTGCGATGGGTTGGCCGTTGGTAAGGCTTGCCATCATAGAGGCGAAAACCGCTCGGGTCTTCGTTTGTGCTGATCAAAAACAACAACAAATACCTCGTGTAAACAAGACGGGTCACAAGTAGGTTTAGCAGACCAGCGTGAGCAACATTCCGTATTGCTAAGCACATTTTATGTTTGCTTGGTACGACGGCAGATAACTTCGTCTGCGTCGGAGATAGGGTTTCTCCCCATGCATTGTTTCCCCATTGTTCACACGTGCTTAGGGCCTTACTAGGCAGCCTCGCCAGGATCTTCCTCCTGCATGCTGTAGGGGTGGCACGACGGTGGTGCGAACTGAGCAAACGACGGGGTCTGCAGATGACAGACGATGCTATGTACAGGGTGCTATCCCGGACGGTGATGGCCTGAAGAAAGGCACTGGAGAGGCAGATCCGACAAAAGGAAAACAGCCCTTGCGGGCATGTAGTACTATGCTTTTTGATCTTGGCTTGTCAGGAGAGGCGCGGGAGCACGGGGTCCCGAGGGCACGCATTGACGCGGAGAAAGGGGCGGTAGGGCGTTGAAGAAAGCTCTGTCGTACAGAGGGCTGACTTGTCATCGAGAGTTTGATGTTGATGTTTGAACGGCGATGTTGGGTCTGACGGTTGTAAATTATGAGTTCAATGTTGTGGGTGGGGGCCGATACCCTGACCAGCACTGAACTGACGAGACTGACACAGTAACCAGACCCATTCGTGGAGCGCGCTTGTGCGCGAGTGCAGTGCTCGGGTGATGGTGGGGCATGCTAAGAGACCAGTGACGGCAAGAGCTGCTGTAAACTGTACGTACAGTAGCGTGCTGGAGCAACTAACAGTACGCTAAATCATTGACATCTGGGCAGCACCCAGGAGCCGGCAACGGGCGGCTACGGTGGATGCAACACTGTGCCCCCTGCAAGAAATCGCAAGCTCCAGCCCCAGTTCTGCCTAGAAACTACCACGAAACATCAACCAGTTGACATTTGTACTTCCGCACTTCCACTTCCCATTCTCGGGCGCCACCCGTGCACTTGAGCACTCGAGCATTACTTTGTGACTTGAGAGCTCCGAACTCCATGCTCCATAATATGCTGGGATTCTGGGGGCCCGGATGTACCAGAGGGCTGCAAGAGGCAATGGATCCAGGCATTGGGGAAAGAGAGACTTGGCAGTGACGTCGGACGGGGTTCCTGCCTGCTCCTGCCTGTTCCTGCCACTTGTGCTTCTTTCGTGCCTGCGCTTGTCCTGCTTTGGCTGCTTTGGAGCCCAATGCTCTTTCCCCGGTTCTTGCTCCTCTACTCTGCCCATGCTGCATCAAGCTAGGCGCACTCCAGCACTTTCGCCTGGCTTATCCTCTTTGTGCCGGTCTGGTTGGCTCACATCCACTGGCAGCTTTGGTTTAGCGGGTACTGCAGCCTGGCCTCACCCCGAATGCTCCAGCACAATGCCCTCTCAATGTGTCCAGTACGGCGTATCCACTGTCTTCAATGCTGAGCTACTCGATGACTTGACATGGACGTTGGGAACATGCTACTCCATACACCGTACCTTCCTCAGGCACTTCGGTACTTGGGTACCTGGCGACCTGGCGACCTCGAGGCTGTGGCTGACACCCGCTGCGGACTGACATCAAGCGCTCGAGTGGGCTTCTCGACACAACCAACACGGTTTGGAGCATTCGAATCCTCCGAGTCTAAACGTCCAGCAACCAACAACCACCACCAACAACCAACAAGCCCGTCCTTCTCATCCACTCACTCCGTTCTCCGTCCTCTATGCTCCATACACCCTTACTTTGCCCTCCTCTCGTCTGGCTTTGCTCCGTGATACGAGCCGTTACCCCTTTCCTTGTCTTCCACCCACGCCTCCCTAGCTAGTCTGGTACGCTTCGAGTACCACTGGCACACCATTCTGGAAATCATGTCCCAATCTTCGCGGTACTCTTTGCGGGGCCTGAGGCGTGCGGCTTTTGGCAAGGACTCGTTGATATGCAGACGATGACTCCATACACCCATGGATGCCTGCTGCTCATCCAGCTCGGCCCTCGCCGTCTGGCCTGTTGACCGCGGTGCTATATAATCTTGGACCTTTCTCAGCCTTGCCGTCATCGTTCGACTATTCCATTCCCAGACAACAAGTCTATCAGCCTACTCTCTCCGTTCTCCTCATTCTATATATTACCGCTACGCTCACCAGTTTGGCCTTGACGTTCATCTTGTCTGCTTAGACAACCTCATCAAACAAGGTTTCCGTTCGGAACAATCTTCACCAGGCATCGAATCTGTCTCCTCTAGCTCGCGGAGTAGCTGGATATATCAAATCTGTCTTCTTTTGCGTTACTCACGACCCCAATTCTCTTTTGGACAGTTTCTGCGAGAGAAGCTAGCCATGTTCGGTACCTGGAAGTACGGCAGAGGTCGAGGACAGGTCGAAAACCTGAAAACTTCTCACGACTATGAGACAGCACGCTCTAATCAGCATCAAGCTTGTAACAGATGCCATGAGAAGAAGGTACGCTGCGCCAGAATGACCCTATTTCTTTAAATTTCACAGCCGGACCACCGGATCACGGAGTTGCTTTCTACTGTAATCAGTCATTTCTCTCTTTTCGTTACAGATTGACTCTATCTCAATATGACCGGAGCCTAGCTCTTGCAAGCCTTTAGTTCTTTGCTCCGTTATTCATAAAGGCCTTTATGTTTCCGCCCAAACAATGATTCATCCACAATCCGTCCCCAGAGCACAAGGCAGCCCGAGCCCTAACACAATGTGAATATGAACTTTTGGGGTCTTGAGGCTAATCAGGTCTTCTTCGAGAGCAGTTGAAATGCAGCGGCGACAAGGACGGGTGCGAGAGGTGCATCGCTCAAGGCCTTACCTGCGAATATAGACGGGAAACTTCTCGTTCAAAAAAGAACAGAAAGTCTGACCCTCACTCTACAGGCAGTTCAAGAAGTGGCCGTGATGGCAGTGGGAGCCCAAAAGGCTCTCACAAATCCCATTCATCCAAATCCCGGGATAGGCGAGTTGCTCCTCAGTCTGGCAACTCTCGAGGAGAGTCGGCAGCAACTGTCGGAAACGTGTATCATGAGGGCTCGGTCCCCGCTGGTCATGGAATGACTACGTTTGACGGCTACCCAATCATGTCCTCGACGATGGAAGCACAGGCTTCTGAGTATCCTGCAACTGCCCCAGTCGGGGATTTCACGGCTGTTGGCGACTACACACAAGGTACATGGATGCTGGATGGCAGCACAAGCGCTGTTGGCCTTGGCTCCTCGTTTATCGCAACCTCGGAGGCAATGTACACGGATGATGCCCACGCATTCTCAAACTACTCCAACCATACCGGCTTCGATATGTACCAACACATGAATCCAAATGAGGATCCCCGATTTTGGTCTCAAAACCAGGACCAGCATTGACAACTACTGATGGGCAATGTGGGCTATGCCTAGAGGTGATTGCATATGGATAGGTGCCATTGGGGCACTGCCGTATTTCATCTTCTAAAGAATGGCCGAGAGATTGTACATCACAACTTGTCATTTTGTTTCCCTTGCTTCCTTTGCACAGCATATGCATATAGATTCACGAAAATTTAACGATGTTACGACCTGCGATTATATCTGCGACCTTTTTTGCGGCACTTTCTTTCCCTTTTCTCTCTCTCTCTTCTGGGGATTCGTGGAGTAGTCATCTTTGTTTTTGAATCGATCCTGACATCCGTGGGCTACACGTCGTTGGCACCTTGCCAGTAGCAAGGTTCGGAGCAGTAGGGGATTGGGTCCCCAGCACGTTAGATGCTAAATTCATGTATCTGTTTTAAGGGCTTATTATCAATCAACGCGCATGATACGATGCGGCTTATACACAGTAAGGGATGAGATGGAAAAGAAGGCAACAGACACATACATAGTTGGATCAGACCTGAGCTGCGACGTCGCGAGACACGTGCATATCTTTGTTAACATTGAGCCTAAGCTTTTTCCAGGGCTGATAGTTTTTTCGTTAAACGCTTTTGGATTTGTTCTTTCTGGCAGCGATAGACCACACTACGGAGACGACTTAGCCGGATTGGCAAACGGGATAACCCCCCATGATGCATATATGAATAGACTTATTCCCCCGCAATTGTGAAGCACATGGTCCATGACCTTGCTTGGCGAGACATTTTGAGCTGTGGCAATGGTGGCACCAAAGAGGGGATCATCAGAAGTTCTTCTGGAAATCTCATTTCAGTGGATTCCGATTCGATCGTGACTCAACGGAGGGCGCGAGGAGACTGCAGCCTGATGAGGGCTAACGAACTTGGATCTGCTTGCATCACATGCAGGCATCTTACTCGCCTGACCAGGGCCTTTGCATAGAGGGGAGGACCCTGGGAACCACACCGCATGCGCCGTCATACAAAATTTACCGTGGACAAGACATAACATGCAATTGGTGATGCACGGGTCTCGGTGGTTCGATAGGGCATCTTGACGGCTAACAATGAGTGCTTCGCTCAGAGCATAGTGATCCTCGTCCAGATGGGAGTGTGTTCCCTCTCCCTCGTCTTGCATGGAGCGGAGGCCCTATTGCAGATGCGGCGCAAGGATCTAGAAGTCGCGAGCGGAACGTGAATTGCGGAACAACAGCTTAACAGCTCTACGGAGTAGAAGTCTGGCAAGCTGGCAAGGAAATTGTTGCCGGGAAAGGAGTCAACCAGGTGCGACTGAGTGCAACGGGCCCGCCGAGGAACCGGGCGCGCAAACCCGATGGAAAACGGCGTGGGTGGTTATAGCCGCATGTTCCTCCCGTGTTTCTGATGTCTTGAAATGTCCATGGATAGGGCAGCCTCTAAAATGCGTGGTTGAGGCTTAGTAATTCCGCGTTTGATGCGGCTCAACTGGCAACCAAGAAGCCGATTGACTTTTTGCCCCATAAACGGAAGGCAGGTCAGGAGGAGTTGCTCCCCAATTCGACGACGACCAGACCCTGTGCAACACCCTCTGCATTTCATGCGGCGTCACTCGGACCACATTTTCTTTTTTGCGATCCGTCGACATTGGAACAGTTCACAGCCAACACCAACAGCCAACCCGATTCATCGACCGCCGCATGACCAGCCAGCACATCCTGCATCGCTTGCACATCCCAGCACCACCCGTGAGGCTCTGCTTCACCCCGAAGCTGTTCGTGCAGCCGCGCCAGCGTCGTCGGCATCAGCACCAGACACCAATTGCCCCCCATCATGGCTGCTGCACAAGGCGATACACCAACTGCTCCAGCCGCGCCATCCCAGAGCAAATCCGTCGTGGCGCATCTGCAAGACTGGGGATGTAAGTTTCCAGTGCAGTCCTTTGCTGTTACAAACCAATGTGTTTTCCTTTCCATTGGGGCCCATCTTGGTCCGAAACGCGCTCCGTTTGCCGCGTGTCGGCCTCGATGTCATCCTCTCACGCCGTTCCCTTGGTGCTCTTCACTCTGCACATCATCACGTCCCCAGTCTCCCTCTTATGTATGTGGCCTTGACATGCATGGAAGCTTCGTCGAACGGGATCCGATTCCTTCACGTCGGCGTAATCTCCCATTCCCGGCAGCAAACCCACCCTTGTCACGTTGGAAATATAGGAAAGAGTCATTGCTACATCACCACCAGGCAACCCTCGCGCCTCGCCCCGGATAACCACGCAAATCAACAGCAGTTGAACTAACTCGTCCATCCTAGCATCTTCCCTCCCCCCGGCCCTCCTGGCAACCCTCGTCACAGCCCTCCACGCGCGTCCACTCCAGAAGCTGCCCCTGTTCCTCTTCACACCTCCTCTGCTCTTCTCGTCGTACCTCAACCTGTCGGGATACCCGACTGGCAGCGCCGGCCTCACAGCCGCCTGGTCGGGCCTGTATGCGCTGCTCGCGCTGCGGAGGCGCCAGCCCTTGAGGAGCAAGTTTTCCGCGAGGGGCCTGGTGAGAGGAACGGCGATTGGGCTCGGGGCCGCCAACGCCGTTGCCGGCGGATGGGTCTACTTTGGCGGCGACTTTGCAAAGGACGAGGAGGAGAGGACGAGAAGGAATAGATGGGCACCCAAGGATGACTAGGGCGGAGGTGACTGACGCGGGCTGAGTCGTAAGACCAGACCGCTGTCCGGGAAAGAGTGCATGTACAATATGGTCTAATGTATAAACTCATGATTTGACTCCCTTGCATCGCGTCGGGTTTTGTATGCTCATAATCAAGACGAGTGTAATTTGAATGGAAGGATTCCAGGCTTGACGTGAGTGAGAAATATTCACACTAGGCCGTGATCCTGCTCCATCTACGTCCGTACGGCGTCCGCTTAAGACGTATTCACCACTGACTTCACAACTGTCCGCATCCCATTCAAAAAGCCAAGCATCTAGACACACTCGCTCACTGTATATGTATTGTACACTATGGCCACTCGGGCGCGACACCAATCAACTATACCCAAGTGATTTGCCAGTTATTGTTACCGTTGGCAGCTTCATGGTTGAAATCGCCAACAAAATGATAGACACAGACGACTGGCATGAACAGATAATCACAAGTCGCTCCTCATCCGCGGCAGCAATCGTCTATTGATGCTCTCCATAACGATACATGCTTTCCTCATAAAGCACAAAAGAAAACTCAACCCAAAAAAAGGGTAGCCAGTGAATTCCTGCACAACGCTGGGGCCAATTCTTATTCCGGGCTATGCCATTAAACAATTCCCGACACCAACCCCAAGACACTTCTTTCTTTCCCAGAACGCCGCCTCAAGATTTTCTCAGCTCTTGATTTTCTCTTAGGCCCCCAACCTGGCTCATCAAATAATCTCGATGAAAAAAAAATGTCCAACAATGCGTCTGATTTGCTACCGTTCTCTTCGGTGCAAATTGAAAAAGACCAGGGGCCAAGGCCAAAAACAGGGCGGAGATGCCGCCAAAATGCCATGTAGAATGGGTATTAACTGTAGCGATTCTCTCTGTGAAGTCTAATATGATATGGTAATGTGTGTTCCGATTCATTGATCGGCGGACGTTGAGCTTTGTTGACCTGCTTGTTTTTGGTAGTATACAGGCAGGTGTGATTGTTATTCATGGCTCAAAGTGGCCAGGCGAA